TCTAGGAATTTGTCATCTGTGCTATGCCCGCAAAAATATCCCTTACGAAAGCTATCACCCAAGGAAGTTCTCCTTACGACAGCTATCACCCAACGAAGTTCTCTTTACGACAGTTATCACCCAACGAAATTTCCCTTACTGCTAACACCCAACGAAGTTTTCCTTACGACGACTATTACCCACCGAGGTTTTCCTTACGGCAGCTATCACCCCACGGTGATGTCATACCTGTGTCGTAGTCCGGGGTGGTGCAGGCTGGGAGCGGGAGGGTGAGGAGTCCTGCTGAGGACAAGGGGTGGAGGTGGCTGGCGGCGGCCAGAGCACGGCTGGGTACGCCTTTGGGGCGAGGAGGATCCGAGTCAGGACATCGCTGGTCCGTCTGAAACCGTGGTTCCCAAGTGAATGCTGTGGGCATATGGGAATCCGACCAATCTGTGAGTGAATGCCTTCAGGCCACTTTCTTGGTCTCGGGACACACATATTAAGTAAGCAGCACGTGACACGCCAGTCCGATCAACTGGAACCACACGAGTTCGGATACAAATCCAGAGGTGGATAGCGGTTACGAAGAACCATGCTCTGCAAACACAAGTTGTTTACGTCTTCGCAAACTATCACGTGAAAGGAACAGAAGCTGACAAAGCGCATGTCCGACGATCGACCAAAACCCAAGGACGGTCCAGCGAACCAATCATGCACAGCGAGCCAATCATAATGTGCACGCACAGCATCGTGAGCATTTGCACGTTTTGCGTCATTCTTGGCTAGTTTTTCAGGCTGTCTAACTTTTGCATACATTTCGATCAAATCCTTATCAGACGGGACCGATCTGGCCGATACCAATCCTTTAAATGAAGTCATTACAAATAGCTCAGAACATCCCTTCCAGTTGACGCTAAACCGGGAGAAATGTCGTCACACCGAATACCCGTTCATCACGAATCTAATTCATTTAACTTAGTTAGAATTGCTGCATCCTGAACTCAAGAGTATGGGATTGTTTTTCACATTATCTCACTAAATCACTGTGCATTCAGGTTATTCACCCAAAACATAACAGCCCAAATACATCATGGAACCCAGTTTCATAGCACTTTTGCAGATTTTGCATGTTCCTGAGTCAATGTTTGCCGTGGACAATGATCGTTGTAAGTCAAGTTCTTAAAATGCTCTTCTCCACTATGTGAAACTAAGACTAAACAGCAATACTCTGTGGGACTTTGTAACTTTCAGGCTTTGTCATGCTTTTTTGCAGCAGCTTTTAATGTTTAAATGCTTGCATAATCCTGAGAGCTTTCAAGATGTTTCTCTTTGAGTTATTTAGTACTACATCAATTAACCATCACCTCCTAGTGAAAAGGTCATCATCTCAACCTAAGAACTTTGAACTTATTTATTTGCGACACTGATGCTACTAATGGTTATCCGCAACAATCACAAAATAAATTGAATAGGAGAAAATAGGCAAGTGCAACAGCAGGAAATGCATAACATGAAATGAACAAAATGTAATTTGATCTACAGAAAAAGTGGCAAATCATTCCAAACAAAAATACCATTTGACAGCATTGTGCAGAAGGGGATGAACAGTTGAAAAAACAACAAATTGAACTTTGAATCAAATAGATTAATAGGAAGAAACAAACACAACACAAATGTTAGCATTTTGTTACCATGTACTGTACAACTACCAGATCAAAAGGAAACCCCTAAAGTCAACCAAACCTCAGGCATCCACAGAAATGAGCCACCACAGCTGTAGAATGTTGCAGTTGATGGAAACACACCCATATCAGTCTATAAAAATGAAATGAAAAACTGACACTCAACTAGGTACCTCAGAATGCTCCAGATAGTTTGACACATTCAACACCCTAGAATGAGCTCATGTCAACAAGCTGAGATGCTGCAGGCAAGGGCTGAATGCTGCAAGGCATTAAGTCAGGGAATAGCTGTAGGCACTATGGCACACCGAATAGCTGAACCTAAAAAGCTCTTGTTCACATCACAAAACATGCACAATAAACATTTGGAGCTTTAACATGACAACACAAATCTATATTTTCCTCACCAAGCCCTATCCTTTATAACTAAAACCTCCATCTATTGATCCCAGGGTACCAAAGGTACACCAAAGCAGCTGGTGTGGAACAGGCAGCATCAACAGATTTAGAAGCAAATCCTTATCTGAAACATATGCAGCACTGGCTCAAAGAAATTAGAGCACTCAATAGATGCTAGATTGCCCAAACCATGCCAGAGCAATGCAAATTCTTATTCAAATGCAACGTGCAGTGTTGATCTGATATTTTTGAAACATAATGCACTCAACATTTACTCATATTATTACAAGGAAAATGTGTTGCTATAAGTTATGCCATGATGTTGTGTAACAGGTATAATGCTGGGAATAGAGTTGCAGCTGAGCATTCAGAATATTGTAATATTTGGCATGAAACTTCAGCTTCTACAAATGTTGCAAATCTGAAATCCTCCCTTGCAAAGCAACCATTCTATAATGTCATAATTAAGTTGCTAGCCCTACATCCTGAATGACCCCATTATTTCAGCACAAGCCTCAGCATAAATCATAAAGATGCTTCATCCTCTTGATCACCTGTAAATTTTAGGTGCAATACATACCATTGCACCCATTACTACAACATTTGCTGCCTGGATTGAATATATTTACTGAGCACAGGTTTCTTTCATTTACTAAGTTTAACACCTGGCTTTCGGATGCATGCAGTTGCATGCAGCAATTGCATTTTGGGATGGTGGCCTCCCCAAACAATATTAAAATGTGCTAGCAAATGTTGGGTTGCCCTTCTCATGCTGTTGCTAGAATATTATACAAAAAACTACAGCAAAACTGACTATTGCACCACAATCACCCACTTTGGGCATTACTTACTGACATTGGCTGGGCTATCAGATGAAACAAACAAAACTACAAGATGAAAATAGCACTCAGTCAAAATGAGGTGTCAAGACCCAATGACAAACACACATTACATGGAAGTGAGGTGGGATAACCCTAAGCACAGCCCACCAACAACCAACAGATACTGATTCTTCTGATCTGGAAAAACATAACCTTACAATTTTACATACACTGAATTATGAAGGAAAGTCATGCAATTTTTGACATCAGACAACCTACTCTAAATACTGAAGGTTTTGGTTAATGTCATCACAGGCAAGTGCACAATATTGCATCATCCCAAACAGTTTCACCATCTTAAAATGCTTTTCATTTCTTATCAAGCACATCTAATACAACCACATAAATGTGCTGAATTGACATAATTGCTGGTTGGCCCATTTCATGGATGATGACACCTCTGTGATAAATGTTATCATTGCATATGCTGTGTATTCAAATGCCAAACTGACAACAATCCCAGCATTCATATATTGAAAACTGACAAGTTTTTTAGCCCCAGCATTAATATACCTGAGAAAACATTGGCCAGTCTCTTCGCATGCAGCACTCCACAGCCGGCAGCCTTTGTTACAATATTCCCAACTGACTCAAAGTGCAGCAACAGTATCACTACATAATCAGTTTGTATGCAATGTTTAGAGCTGCCCACGATATATTAGAAGAGAAATAACGTGACTTAGAAAAGAGCAACACACGCCAGATCGACCTAGACGCATCTGTAATTACTTGGACACAATCTGGTTCTCCAACCATCATCTACAGTACGCATATATTTTTTCGTACATGCGTTTCTAGGCAACCCATGTAAACAACGTGAGCAATAACGCAGACTGGACCGACCCCGCGTCCCCCGCCACGCGCGCCACAACACCAAAAACTTCAACAGGGACTACTCTGGCGCAACTATGCCACTTGCCCGGCGCGTAGGCGCACCTAAAAAACTGTCATTTACCACAGGAACGCAATGAGCACAGGATTGACCAACCTGGGATATGGCGAACATTGAGTTTGAATGTACTAAATGAATGCAGTTGAGTCTTAACCTGGGTATAAATGGCCATTCACTCTGTTGTGACATTACATGCCCATTCTCTCCTTATGTGGTTACCTTGGGTGTATTTACAAGAGTACATTTAGGTTCCTATGTCTTCACGTTTTCCTTTCGTATCTGAGGACCGTGTGGCAAAAGGGAGTCAGAAATTGGGAATGATTTTGAAGATATTGCATCTTCAAAGATCCTTCAAGGAGACCTGCATTTTGTGGAATTTTGTAATGGGACGCCAAATATTTCACCGAAGCTTCTCTGTATTTTAGTCTCTCCGCATCAGCCCCTGATAGTGCATTTACCCTCTCTGCTCCCCCACGGCGACTCTCGACAGCGGGGCCGCGGGCCAGGGCCGTGCGAACTGCGGCGGCGGCGAGCATCTGCCGCGCAGCCGAGGCCAGCCTGCGTCCCTGACCATCTGCCGCGTCCCGTCCCAGCAGGGGCGCAGGACACAAAGTGCAACTGCACTACGAACAGATTTTCATTAGCATTACGTGCTATCTTGTAGGGACCCATGTCTTTACGGCAGAGTAAGGTGAGAGTGGGCAGAGGAGAAGGGGACGGGGTATAAGCTCGTGGGCTCAGTTACGATTTGTCCGCGACCCGAGAAGTCGAGACCCTCAACGAATGAATGTTCAATGCTCCTCAATGCAAAGAAACAATAGAAAGAAGCAAACGCAGAATATTTCTGGAAGCTTCACTGCATTTCCAACACTTTTATCAAATTTATGTTCGACAATGAAGGTCTTAGCGGCCTGAGCCTTCCTGCTCCAAAGCATTGCTTTTCGTTGTTCTTAAAAGCTAGTTAGAGAGCTAAAAAAAAAATGTAATTTTTTGCAAAACGATATTATGAATATGTTTCTCGTAGTTCCTGATATTGCGTAAGATAGAACATTTTTGACAGAACATCAAGAGCTGGGCCATTTCGGTCAGCACTATTTCCAACACCGCTGACAGTGGTTGCTAGGATACGCATAAACGAGAAAAATATGCGCGTCGCGGCGCGCCGCTGTGCTGACAGGCGAGCTGACCGCGGTGTTGCCCTTTTGGCTTTTAGCCTTTAGCTATTGAACACCCGAGCCCTTAGTTATAAAATTCACTATTTTAGACAAAAATAAATGCACTAGACTAAAAGTTAAGGGTGTTGAGTGCGACTGTTTTACTGGCTCCAGCCTCAGCACGAAGTCCTCCAGTCTTGAGTCGCTGCAGGCCATGGCGCACGAGGTAAGCCGGCGTTGGGCGGCGCTCTGCGGGACAGCCGTGCAACGCTGGCGACTGGTGACAACGCACAGCGTGTCCGTGTTTTGTTGGCTAACTGTTGGAATACGCAACCCGTTTGCATGCCCGAGAACCGAATTATGTTGTGGAGGCGACCGATGGTGGTGCGTGGGGGAGGGTCGAGCTTGTTGAGCCATTCGTCCCAGCACGTGCGTAAAGCCGAGCACATGGGGCGTGGCGCCTGGCGCTGGCCTCTCGCCGTGCGCCTGCTGACGCGGCCCGCGGCGGGCAGGTGTCGCTGGTGGAGGACAGCGAGTGGCCGTTGGCGCACGGCGCCGCCGCCCAGGCCGTGCGCGGCCGCGGCCGCAACGAGGGCTTTCGCGCCGCTGTCGACCGCAGCTACGAGGCGCCGCTGACCAACGTGCGGGACCGCGTGGGGACTCGTGAGTGGTCGCCACGGGCCGGCCGCGCTCGGCGATGGGCGCTCAGTGGGCGGCGCCGGTGGGACAGGCGTCAGTGGACGCTGCTGCCGGCCGGCCGTCGGCGGGTGGACAGAGACAGGGAAATGGGACATACTGGAGACGGCGGCATACTGTTGCGGCTGAGCAGCTGTGCGACCTGGCGCCATTGTGACCAGGCTGCAGCTAGTTGCTTTTTTGATGCGATTTACACCCCAGTGATGCAGTATCCATCGGTATGAGCTGAGAATGCGTGCGTCCTCTCCCTCAAGTCGTTCCGTGTTAAATCCCAGGCATAATTTTCACGCCTCGCATGGTTGTATGTTATTTTCGTCTGGTATGTTTCTATGCTATGCTTTGCATCGTTGGTCAGGAAAATTTGTTAAAAAGAATATTAACTGTTTCACTCTTTGCATGTCACAACATTATCTTGTGTGCTTTTGAGGGCCAATTTGTTGATATTTGTCGGGCGTATTTATGCATGCGAATGCATTAGTAGTTGCACCCGCATGGTCGTTGTGCGTTCCATCGCCCAAGATCACAGTAAATTTTACGCGTTTGGAAGACAATCGACGTGAAATTTACACGTCGCCACCAGCAAGCGGCCAAAAGGAGCGTGACGACGCGCAATCTTCGTGACATCACTTACAGTTCACGGAACCTGTCTTAATGGGAGGGGCCCTGAGGCCGCGGTCGTGCCTTGTACTCCATCAAGTGACCTGTTCTTCACCCGGTTCGTGTCGTCTCTGCCTTGGCTGTCGTGATACGGCGGTGGGCTGTCTTCCGTACCTGTCGCTGTCGCGTTTGGGTGCCGCGTGGTGGCCGGCGCGGCGGTGGCGAGGCGACCGTTCGTCTCCCGCGGCGTCTCTCGGCCGTCACGGCGACACCCAGCGTCGGCCGCGCCCTGGGGCGAGCCCGCTGTCGGTGGAGGCCGCTCTCCGCGCCGCTGGTGGCCGGCCGCCGCCGCCGCTGACCGCCCTCCGTCTCTCCCTCCTTGCACGCCTCGGACGCCTGCAGTGCCGCTGGCAGCTGACGCCGAATTTGTCACCTATCTTGCGGACGAGGGGGCGGTGCCGGGCTTCGGCCGCGACCGAGCCGCCCGCCAGAGCTCAATGAGCTCAGGTACTGCCGACGCCAAGAAGGCGAAGCGACGCTCCGGCCTGCTGAAGAGACTCGGCAGTATGTTCAGGTGCGGGAGGCCGCCCAGCCCTGCGGGGGGGGGGGGGGGGCAGTCGAGTCCCGGGGCTAGCGGATAGTGTTGATGTCACATTATGTCCATCGAGGTGTGCCTCACAGTACTGGGTTGGGTGCTGAGTGACATCCTGCAGTCGATGCGCCCAAAACCCAACTTATCATCATCATTATCCACAGTGTGGGTCGCTGTGCAGCAACACCGTATCGGCTCGCCTGATCGTGCTCATTATGACGCGCCCCCGTTCGTCCTGTCGGTATGTCGGGCCCCGTGTTAAGCGGCCCGCGCGTGGCCAGGTTCGGCCGGCGCCGCAAGAGCGGTGAGGCGGCGGACGCGGCGCTGCGCCGGACGCCCGACGAGCCGCGCCAGCAGCAACAAGAGCTCAACAGGATTGCGGCCTGGCGCCGAGCCGAGGACATGCAGCGGCGCATCCAGCAGCAGTACCAGCGGCTGGTGCAGCAACAGCAGCAGCAGCAGCAGCAGCAGCAGCAGCAGCAGCAGCAGCAGCAGCAGCAGCAGCGGCAGCAGCAGCAGCAGCAGCAGCAGCAGCAGCAGCAGCAGCAGCAGCAGCAGCGGCAGCAGCAGCACAGGCCGGTGAGTGGTGCGGTGTGCCCCACGGCCGGCGCCGGGCACGGCGAGCGAGTGTGCACCGCTGTTTAGATGCCCGCCAGTGACTGGTCGAACGCAGCTGACGGCATGGCCGCTGTGGCCGAGCGGACCGGCAGCTGTCTCTCGGATGGGGACTGTTGCGGCAGCGATATGCCGAGACAGGCGCACCTCTGTGTACGATGCAGTTCACATGCGTTGATGTCCGCGCGGACCTTGGATTGACGCTGATGGCTCAATGTCTTGGCGGGAAGCACTTCTTGTGAACAAGCATCAGCAGATTAAGTAGCTTGGACGAGTGGGAGACCGTGTAGCTGCTGTAGCTGCTTCGTGGCCCTGCGGTAGGCGTGCTCACTGCATGCCCTGTCTGAGCATATACCGCCACATATACCGCGACCCGACCCGACCTGACCCGACCTGGCCAGACGTGACCCGACGTGACCCGACCCGACCTGAACTGACCTGCCCGGACCTTACCTGGCCTGAATTGACCCAACCGGATCAAGCCCGACCCGACCTGACCTGCCCTCCTCGGACATGACCCGACCCGACCTGACCTGACCTGGCTGGACATGGCCAGACCCGACCCGATCCAACCAATCCTGACTTGACGTCATCCGAGCTGACTTGACCGGACATGGTCTGACCGGACCTGCCCTGGCCGAACATGAGTCGACCCGACCTGACCTGATCTGACATGGTCTGACCTGGCCGGACATGACCTTACCGGGCTTGCCGGCAGCCGTCACAGGGCCAGCCTGGAGGGCCGCTGCCGCCGACGGCGCAGGAGCGCGCGCCCAGCCGCACGGACCGCATGCAGCAGATGCGTGAGCAGCACCAGCGCCGCCATGCCAGCCGCCAGGGCGTGTACGTGACGGAGGCGGCCGAGGAGGCGGCAGAGCTCCGACTCGGCCAGGTAGGCAGGCTCCCGAGCGGCGGCTCCAGTTCGGCGCAGTGCGGGCACCGATCGCGGCACGCTGCGTGCGCAGCTTGCGGGCTTCTGCCCCGGCCATGGTGAAATGGCCGTGTCCTTGTGCTGCTCTTTCGGTCGGTACGCTTACAGCCCTGCAGAGGGGTTCATGTGGGGCATTGTTGGCTTGTGTGATGACTTATTATCTTCCTATTGCTGCTGTCCAACGTAAAAACATGCACGATTAGCATTTCTGGCGTCATTTGCTTCATTTGATTGTCTCAAGGAGCCCCTTAATGTCACCAAGCAAGCAGCTTGCCTTGGGTTATATGCAATTCAAAGCCAGATCAGGTCAACGAAATGAACGTACCCACACACTACCTGTAATGCTTTCCAGAGACGTAAACACGCGACCGATGCCTATCAGCCAATGCGACCGTAGTCGTGCTCTTGTGTTCGAAAACAACACGCTCATGTGCTTACATCCGCAGTTTGTCTTGCACGTGCGGGTAAGGGAGAGGTCTTGGAAGGGTTTGGCAGACGGGAAGTCCATATTGGCAATAGTTGTACACATCCACGATGTCGCATTGCCGTCTGTATTTTCGCTACATTTGGAGCTATAAGTCCACCATTGTGGATCCCCCGTATGGGGTGCTACGGGTCATTTTTTGGTGGCGCTCCCCTCCGCAGACTGTCTTGGAATGACTGAAGTGCAACGTGGAATGTTTAAACGCTAGGAAGGATATCGGCGTTTACGTCTATGAACATGCCGTGGTTACTAGCTCATTAAACGTTAGATGTTAGCTCGTCTGACGTTAAATAGTACTAGACGTTGGATGAATAGCACTACTACATTTTGGTTGCGTTTGACTGCGCATTTCCAGCTAGTGTTTGACCATCAATGATGACCACCTGCGAAGAGCGCCTAGTAATCACGATTCTAGATTTTTCTACATGTTGTCGATTTTCCTTCTGTGAACTGGGGAGGTGATGAACTCGTAGCACGCTGCTATGCTCTTGCGCCTTCTGCGGACGCCGGTGCGGCGTGCGGCCCGCAGTGGGCGGTGCGGCGTGCGGTGTGAGGGCGGCGCGCCGGACGGGCTGACGGCAGTGCGCCGGCCGGGCGTGGTTACAGGCGCACCCATCCAAGCCGGCCGCACCGCCGCCGCACCGCCCTCGCCTGCCGTCCCCTGCTTGCGGCTGGCCGCACGCCTGTGTCTGGGGTCGGGCGTGGGACGCCGTGCGGCTACGGGTTTTGCCTGATGATTGTTTGTCGCCATTCTCTTATTCGCCGGTGGTATGGGCTGACCCGCTGCCTGCACGTCGCCCTGCGACGCGTGGCGCGCGCTAACTCCTCAGCGGTCATCTCGTTTTGATGGCATTGGTGCTTGTTGGTGATAATTGTGTTCGCCTGCAAGATTAGTGTTTGATAGTTGTATTTTACCCAATACTTGTGTTTTTGTTCGCTGCTAATGTTCTGTTAGATGTTTGGCATTTTCCAAATACTTCCAGTTATAAACTAGCTCGTTTCTTGATTAGGCCTGCATTGCGTGCCAGGCTGCCACGGATTAATTTCCCTCAGCGCATGGAGCGGACAGGGGGCAGCAATGGTGGACCACCGAACCAGCGAGGCCACCCAAGCTGTCCACTGAAGCCACGGACCAATCCCAACGATCTGCCAGACCTACGAGGCCATCCTGACGTCTCATCAGATATACGAGCGTCTCCCAGCGGTCCGTCGGACCGGCGACGTAACCCCAGTGGTCCGTTAGATCACCGGGCGCACGCAAATGTCCCCCCAGATCCGAGAACGTACTTCAGCGGTCCCACAGGTCGGCAGACCTACCCAAACGGCCCCTCCAGAGACCCGCGGTTATACCCCAAAGGCCCCTCAGACCAACGGGCGTACTCCAATGGTTCCTCAGACCCACATGAGTACTCAAATGGTTCCTCAGACCCACATGCGTATTCCAACGGTCCCTCAGACCCTCGGGCGTACTCAAATCACCCCTCAGACCCACGGGCGTACTCCAACGGTCCCTCAGAATCACGAGTGTACACCAGTGGTGTCCCAGATCCGCGCGCCCCGAGGTGGGACCCACCCGACTCCCAGATTCCGAGACGTCGCTCCGACGCCCGTATCCCGGGAGGCCCATCCTGGCCCCGCTCGCTTCTCTCGGACCCGGGCGCGTCCGGTGCCGTTGCGTCGGACCGGCGCGGGCTCGGCCGGACCAGCCGGCGCCCGCCCAGCCCCGGCGGCCGGTCCGCAGGCGCGCCGCAGCCGCGCACCCGCAGCGGCGGCGCGGCGGCGTTCGACCCACGCCGCCGCAGCCCGGGCCCCGCCAGCGCGGCGACCGCGCGGCGCGACCTGTGTAACCCATACGAGCCGATGCTGCGGCCCGGAAGCCGAGCAGGGCTGGTGGTGGCCCCCGGCCTCGGCCCCGGCCCCGGCCCCGGCCCCGGCCCCGGCCCCGGCCCCGGCCCCGGCCTCGGCCCCGGCCCCGGCCCCGGCCCCGGCCCCGGCCCCGGCTCCGGCTCCGGCTCCGGCTCCGGCTCCGGCTCCGGCCCCGGCCCCGGCCCCGGCCCCGGCCCCGGCCCCGGCCCCAGCCCCAGCCCCAGCCCCAGCCCCGGCTCCGGCTCCGACCACGACCACCAGCACTTCGGACACTACGCCAACTACGAGCAGACTCAGCACCACCTGCGGTGAGCGGCCAGGACGCCGCGCACGGCTCTCTGGCACTGGAAGATCCCGTCCCATCGCCCACCTGATATGAGTCGCTGGGCCTGTCATAGAAGGGACACTGAGCCGCCTCTGTGTTATTGGCTTTGAAGTTTTTCCGGGTGGCATGTTTCCTGTAATTACAGGATCCATTTTGTTAAACAAGTATTCGGGCACGAAACTGCTACAGGATGATAGGAGTTGCAGTATCCAGTAAGAAATGATAATGGTCATGCATATTCCACGCGACATTTTAGGTTAACCAGTGCCGAAACATGCTTTAATGGCATTAGTATTTTCAAGCAGAGGCTTCCCACAGCATTCCGATCGGTTGGAATTTAAAATTTATGAAAGCGGCGGTAAGTGATCGAATTTTATTCGAACTTATGACTGGACCGAACATGCCGGGGAATTCAATGCATAAAAGTTTTACCCCTAGGTCGCGTATTGGGGGTAACGTGTCGTGCCACACAGCCGCTTTAAACAACCGATTTTTTAACCTGCGCCGACAGATGGTTTAGCATACTGTGCCTACTGGGCCTTTTTACGTTGCAAAGTAGGGATGTGCCTAGTGTTCGTTCCCCTATGTGTCGCACGCACGACCCGCGGTGACAGCGGTGACGGGCTCGCGTAAGCCGACACGACGCCTAATCCAGCACGACCTGTTCACCGGTGTTCGGTCTTGGTTTCCAGCGAGGAACGCCTAAGGGGCGCCGCTCTGGTCAGTCGACTGGAGGAAAAGTTCTGGGACGAGGCCAGGTGTGGGGCGGTAGCATCCGGACACACGTTTGTCGGCCCGCCGAGGGTCTGTTTTGTCCAAGCGCCACCGAGGTGAGGGGTTCATTTCGGTCGCGTTTGTCTAGCTCTGTTCTTGCCACATTTTGACGCCTGGTCTCCGTGGGCCCGAATGAGCACGCCTCCCCCGGCCCCCGTGCGAGCGCGAGCGCGACGTTGTCCTCGTGCTGTTCGCATCATCTGCTCATAAGGCAGGTGCGCATGATGGGCTCACGGAAGCCATTGGCAGTCGTAGCGCTTGCCTGTTGTCCTCAGCCAGAGTCGCTCGCCTGTCGCACTCAGCCAGAGTCGCTTGCCTGTCGTACTCAGCCAGAGTCGCTTGCCTGTCGTACTCGGCCAGAGTCGCTTGCCTGTCGTACTCGGCCAGAGTCGCTTGCATGTGGTCATTGGCGTGCATACAAGGAAGTGTAATGGCCCCCTCGCTGGCTGGTGAGTTCAATGCATGTCCCCTGGCGAAAGGCCTACGCCGCGGTGATCGTGCCCAGACCGTTTGTGTCGTTGCGTCCGACTCGTGTCGGATGGTCTGGGGCATGCCTGTCCCGTTCGTGATCATCGCGATAATTGGTGACAGGATATATCGATGGTTGTCTTTCCAATGTCTGAGATTTGTCAAGTGTGCGACATTTCAGCCACGCAAATGGCACGTCCGGCTCCAGAGACACTGCGCGTGCAGGTGGTAATGCCTTCATAACTCCGGTCCCTTCAGCCGATTGATTCATCCCTCAGCACCGTCGCACCCTGATCCTACCTCCAGCACGGGCGGCCAGCTGGCGGCACCAGGTGTACTTGCCAGAGCTGATCGCCAGCATCTGTGCAGTGTCGCGTCCCTGCTTCTAACTTCAGCTGTGACCGCCAGGCGGCAGCACCAGGTGGGCCACTCGCAGCGCGGCCGGCGCGCCGAGCCGAGCGCCGCCGAATGGCCAATCAGCGACTACTACGAGTACGAGTCGGTGCGGGCGGTCCCGCGTGGCGGCGGCGGCAGCGGCGTGGTCGACCCGACGACGAACCACTCGCTGCCGCGCCACCACGAGAGGACGCGCTCCGGGCCGGCCACCGGCGACGGATCGGCCGGCGCCGGCCGAACACCAGGCCCGGCCACCGCATGCGACGGTGAGTGGGGGCGAGTGAGGTGCGGAGGTCAGTCTGGTGGTGTCGGGCGGAGGGCTGGTTGGTCGCCTAGTGCCGGCGGTCGGCCCGCTGGGGCCGGTGGAGCTGATGCCCGGCCGGCGCTGTAATTGGCCCGGTGACGGCGCCACGCTTGCCTGACCGGTGTGTAAGGTTACGCGTTACAGGTGTCCCGTGTCTCTGGCCGCAGCTGCGGCCGCGGCCGGCGCGCTGTCGGCACCACTCAGCCCGCCCCGGCGGAGACTGGCACCGGCGGCTGTCCACCACGGCCGGCCGGGCCCCGAGCGTCTGCGGCCGACAGCCAGCCACGCCGCCAGCAAAGGCAGCCGGGTGTGAGTCCTCATACGACGAGCAGAGGCGGTCGAGTCTGACCTCGACCCGCTGGGGCGGCGTGTCCGATCCCACTCCGGGGTCGCCGAGTTTCACTAGGATGGGGAAAGGATCAAAGGGTGGCGTCGCGGCTCTCTTGGGATTACTCCGCTACCCGATCTCCATCCGCCCCCCCCCCCCATCCCCGTCTCTCCGCCCGGTGTCACGCGGTGCTGCTGGGCTTGCGGAGCCAGGCCCGGAAGCCAGCATCTGGATGGCTTCGTCGACGGCGCGAGAACAATACATGAGATGAGCAGCCGGATGTTCGTCACCAGCCACCTGGCGTTGCGGCCTCACTCAGTACTGCGCTGCCAGGAACCCGCCCCAACACAACAGGCTTTGTCCACAGGCACCAGGTGCTAGTAATTCTCCAGTGCTATGCTATACACATCGTCTCGGACAGTCGGGGCATATACGTTAATACATATCTCGCCGCGCCATCTTTTGTCACGCCCCACTGGCCGGCCGCGTCAGCGGACCTGCCCGAGCGGCGGTCCCGGCGCGGTCCGCCGCGGAGGCTGCGCAGTTCGAGACCCGAGGCCGGTCCGTGACGCGGTCGCGCCCCGCCGCAGGGACGACGTGATGCTGGACTGTTGGAGTCTGGAGCCGGCCGAGCGGCCCTCGTTCGGCCGCCTGATGCAGCGGCTGGACGTGGTGCTGGCGGCGCTGGCGTCCATGGTACGGCCGCAACGCAGCACTCTCGGCACGGGGACACGGGAGCTCACAGTGTTGGAGCCTGGTGAGGCGGTGTTGCCAGGTGGCCAGGCGGCGCCGGCGGCGCGGGCGGCCGCAGCAGCGTCGCTGAAGATCGTGATTCTGGCTGGGCTGCCGGCCATTGTCGGTGGGATGGAACGCCGCGGGGAGATTCGGGTTCGGAGACAGGCTCTTACGAGGCACAGAGACGTCGCGTGCATCGGGAGACCGAGACGTGGCCAATGTCGCCGACTGCAGGCTCGCAGCAGTGGGGTGGCTCGTGTCGCAGCAATACCCCCGGCGTAGTGTCCGCGCTGACGGCGAGGGTGACCTGTCCGGCTTCATCGGCCGTCTGCCTGCCGCCCCCAGGAGTACGTGGCCATGGCCTCGCCCCAGCCGCACGTCAAGTACGCGAACGCGGTGGTGCCGTGTGCGTCGCCCTCCGCGTCGGCCTTGCCCTCGCCGCCGGACAGCTCAGACTGAGGGCGTCGACCGGGGGATCAGCGAGTCTGCAGGGACCTGGACTCGTGCCCTATGACGTCAGCGGACTTCCGTGACGTCCGTGTCAAAGAAGTGCTCAGGTTTGTTTTTAACAGTGTTCCTCACCGGACTTCCAGTGTTCCTCGCCGGGCTTTTAGTTGATCCTGATCCGGGCTTTTAGTTGACAGTGCGGCGCCTCGCTAGGACAGTGCGGCGCCTCGTTAGGACAGTGCGGCGCCTCGCTAGGACAGTGTGGTGTCTCGCTAGGACAGTGCGGCGCCTCGCTAGGACAGTGTGGTGTCTCGCTAGGACAGTGCGGCGCCTCACTAGGACAGTGTGACGCCTCGTTAGGACAGTGCGGCGCCTCGTTGGGAAGGACTGCGGTGTGGTATTTCTGCTTGGATTGAACAGGATGCAGCGTGGGTTGGCCTAAGCCGCTCAACTCATGTTTAAGGTCGTGGTTTTTCTTTGTTTGTTTTTACAAGCGGTCCGCACTGGTGTTTGAGTTCCTCTTGGTATGGGTGTTGGAGATCTCCGGTGTGGTGCCTCGCGAGGGTCGTCTCCCGAGGCCTGGGGTGTAGTGTTCCTGCTTTGATTTAACGGATTAGCGGATAGTGCAGGTTGGCGGAATAGCTCGTCTTTCATGTGAGGTAGTGCTTGTATAGTCCACACCCCTTCGAAGTTTGTGAGCGCATTTTCATTGTACGGGTACATGTGACGTACCAAGCAAAGCCTCTCGAAGCTTGTGAGTGCGCTCCTATTGTACGGGTACATGTGACAATGCGAAGCCAGAGCATGGTTAAGGTAGCCCATTAAGAAAACATTTTTATTTGAAGTGTTTTCGTTACGATTGTTTTGCGTAACGAAGTCAAGCTTGTCAAGCAAAATGTTTGGTTTGCTACAAGGTCATGACCTAGATGGTATCTGGAACAGTTTTAGTGGCGTAGTTGCTTTGACGGGTTTCATTGCAGTACAGACTCCTTGCGTTACGATCATATCAAGGACCGGGTATTTGTGGTGCAGCTGTGATGTTTCTGCTGTGATTTTTGCCGGCGCCTAAGTGCTTGGACTGCGGCGTACCTTGTGATTGAGGCGACTACGTAGTGAATGTGCATGCATTCACCTTCGCGTCATTTGAATATACAGTGAGCCATTACATCGAGTAACGTGAGTCAGCTCCTTTCGCTGCGATGGAATGGAAACAAAGAATGGTGAGAAACTATGGGAGATGCGGTCGGCGTGTCTTGGCGCTGCGGACGCCGGTCCGGAAGCTGGATCGTGTGGTCAGCCTCAGATGTGGAGAGCCCCAGTCCCGGAGATGGCAGGCCGGTGCGGAGCGACCACGAAGCTCGTTTTTGCATGTCATTCTTACTCCAGTGCGCGTTTGCCAAATGTGTTCGATGTTTTGGCGGTGACGAGTGCAACAAATGTGCGTAAAAAAGCGGAAGATTAGAAGAATAATTCTTTGCGAGTGCGGATTACTACGAATTGCGTAACTGCAGCGTCTGGACGAATTGCACGCTTCTCACATCATCTTTGGGCCTCGTAGGGGAATTTCGATATCTTTAAAAAACATTTTTGACAGGAGGTTTGATGTTAATAGCGCATATTTTAGTGTTTGATTTTGAAAAACGCGAAAAATGCTGAAATCTGATGGGACAAAGCAAATAAAAAAAACCAACAGTAGAAAGGCCAAGCAACACGATTTCAAAGTGGCAAAACGCTAAAGGTAAAGAAAAATGAATGAATGTCATGTCGTTGAGTAAAAAATGTTGAAGCTGGGGGATACAACTTGAAATAGGCTAAACGTGGAAGTTGGTTAAGTAACCATCACGATAAGGGTGAGAGAAAAAATGAAAATGAAGTAGAAGTCCATGGAACACACATCCAGAGGATCTAAGCAAAGCGTCAGCTGTACGAAAAGTCACGATGCTGTCAAATGAAGCCTGTCCTGGTCTTCGTGTGTCAATCTTTGAGCTGAACTAGAAAGTCCTTACCTGAGTTCAGGAGGCTCTTTTCTACGTAAAGCGGCCAATGTTATGGGCCAGAACGCCTTGATATGGACTAACTAGTTCCCGCTCTGGACGGGAGATCAGGTTTTGCGTTCGGGGTTTGCCGGCTCAGGAGAGCTATTTATGAATCGGAGGACCCCTGTGCTCTGGGCAGGTACACGTTGTTCTAACACTGCCAGTGTGCAAGATGCGGTGGCTCTGATACGCCGGGTACACGTGTCGCTGTGCTGGCTTCATTGTGGAGAGAGACAAGCGCTGAGGAGCCAGTTGGAGCGGGACATTCCTATCCGGCGCACATGGTCCAGCAACTTCGCCCGCGTGACACTGTACATGGGTAAACTGGTGACGAGACTGCAGACAAAAGGTCCCCTGCGGCCGGCACTCCTGCCTGGACGGACCAGACCATGCATTGTGCTTGGTCATCGTGCCATGACTCCGGCGCGCACTGCCATCTGCCGGCGCATGCCTTCCGGCGGCCGCAGGACTGCCTCAGCTGCGGGGCTTTCCCAATGGGCTGGCCGAGGCCGCAGGCGGCGCTGTTATTGCGCGGTCAGATGTCCGGGACCCATGGGGCAGTCCGGGACCTAGAGGGCAGTCCACGACCCAGGGGAGGCAGTGCAGGACCCAGGGAGCAGTCCAGGACCCAGGAGGCAGTCCGGGACCCAGAGGAGGCAGTCCGGGACCCAGGGGGCAGTTCGGGACTCAGGGGAGGCAGTCCGGGACCCAGGGGGCAGTTCGGGACTCAGGGGAGGCAGTCAGGGACCCAGGGAGCAGTCCGGGACCCAGGAGGCAGTCCGGGACCCAGAGGAGGCAGTCCGGGACCCAGGGGGCAGTTCGGGACTCAGGGGAGGCAGTCAGGGACCCAGGGAGCAGTCCGGGACCCAGGGGGCGGTCCGGGACCCAGGAGCCAGTCCGGGACCCAGGGAGCAGTCCGGGACCCAGGGGGCGGTCCGGGACCCAGGAGCCAGTCCGGGGCCCAGGGGGCAGTCCGGGACCCAGGGAGCAGTCCGGGACCCAGGGGCGAGGCTTTCCAGGAGGGAAGAGCGTACGCAGGTCCGCTGTGGCTCCACGGCCAGCTTACCGACCCACAAACTGGTCTGCTTCCGTGACCGACAGACAAAAGGCATCACAAAGGACGGCGATGGGAAGCTGCGCTTGATAATCTGAGCTCAGTCCGGCGGGAGCAGCCATTAAGTCATGTCTCACTTTTTCCATTTCAAAGTGCGGATCTGTGTTATTTCCTATTCTATGAAAGCGCACAAACTCGAGCACGTTCTAATTGCGGGGTATAGACATATAAGCCGGAAGCGAGCTCAGTTTACTTAATCCATCGATCTTTAAGGCACTGATACGGCATTGATACGTATTTTATGGCATAGACGGTGCCAACCAGTCTTTGTTTGTAGTCGGTGAACGCATATGACATGTCAAGATGGGTGCGTTTCAACTTCTGCTTAATGAAACCAGGCCCTGACGGGGGCGGATCTTTACCTTGGTTTTGGGTGGACAAACCGTTCACGTGGTGTGTCATTTCAAACACCTAGTGGCTCACAGCCACACCCCGACATGCTGAACTACACACACACACACACACACACACACACACACACACACACACACACACACACACACACACACACACCACCACCCACACACACACACACACACACACACACACACACCACACACACACACACACACACACACACACACACACACACACACACACACACACACACCACACCACACACACACACACACACAGCACGCACACACCACACACACACCACACACACACACACACACACACACACACACACACACACACACACACACACACACACACACACATATATATATATATATATATATATATATATATATATATATATATATATATATATATATACCCAACCCCAGGTGCCTTGGGCCCCGGTCGCCGTGTCGTGTGTGGAACAGCTGTGTGTGAAGAGCAGGACAATCTGTGACAGGTAGGCTGCGTGTGATTATGTCGTCAAGCGGAGGCTCGTGCCCCCTCTCGCCTAATGAGCGCCCCGACTTACCCAGTAAGCGCCCCCACTTACCCTGTGAGCGCCCCGACTAACCCAGTAAGCGCCCCCGACCTACCCAGTAAGCGCCCCGACTAACCCAGTAGGCGCTCCGACTCACCCAATGAACGCCCCGACTCATCCAGTAAGTGCCCCGACTCACCCAGTCAGCGTCGGTTGAGGAAGAGCTCGACGATGCCGGAGAGGAGGTTGGCGTAGACGCCGATGATGGAGCCCTTGTCGAAGAGGCTGGTGTAGGGCTGCGAGCGGCCAGCATGGCGGATCGTACCTGGCGACGCGCAGCACCAGGACGGCGTCAGGACAGCGCGCACCTTTGGAGTCGACGACTGGGACGCTCTGAAGTGACGGTGTGAGATGCCGGACATAGCTCGCTGACTGGTCGGTGCCAGGGATTGTAACAGTCGATGCCGATCGCATATCATGAAGCCACACGGGCAACATCGTGACTGTGCATGGCATAACGCTACGAGCAACCGAACTCGAAGACTGGACCCAATTGACGCGACTTGTGGATTTACGACGCACCCACCTACTGAGGCTACATGCACCGCCTGCTTCTCACCCTGGCAGCCCGGCATCAAATGCACCCTTAAACCTCAATCGCCAACAACACAACCCGAATGATTGAACAAACGTCATGGAGTGCGAACAAGCAGGAGGTATGGCATGAGCGACACACCACGCCTTCCTAATTCCCGACGCAATTACGTTAGAACAGTTTAGCGGGCCTGTGATTGAGACGTGCGTCAGTGAGCAGCGCGTAACCCGCACAGCCGTGCAGACAATGTACCGGGCGCTGAGGCCTCACCGTGGAAGGAGAGGCCCCAGGAGTGTGAGTCGGCACCTAGGAGGCTCACGAATCGCTGGTTGGCCGAGTCCGGATCAAACTGGCCGTGACCAGACCCACCATCTGCGGGCGGCACGCCGTCAGCTCCTGGTCGCAGTCTGACCGGCTGTCTAGTGGCCTCTGGGGGTCAGCGCACGTGCTGGCTACGGCAGCGGAGCGTGCACATACAGAACGTGAGGATATGGTGGCAAGCCAGGTGAAGGGCTGGGCGCGAGAAAGGAGGTCAGGGTGTTGTCAGTCTGTGGGAATATGCATTAGTAGCACCCGTCATGTTTTGGCAGATTCAGAGACAGGCATGGTGAGCATCAAAGTTGATGATATGCTGAAGCGCATCAAATGTCACCCACTAAACATAGGTCGGAAATTATGACGAGATACAAGCTGTTTCTGGAATATGGTCATATTACATATCTACAGTAGCTCAACGTGGTTCGCATGCTGCAGTGAATACCCATGACAAGTGAGTGGTGCAAAACAAATGCTTAGCCAGGGTGAGATGAGGAAAGACTTCTTTAGGTTAGGCGTAGACTACTTTCATGGAGGTGAGGGTAGGTATTTAAAGTTTGCAACATTTCTCAACTGCAAAGCAAAGCGCCAAACAATATATCAATGGCAAGCTTTTATGAATTGACAGAAATTGGGAAGGCATTCGAAATTTAATTTTAGGATGTGAACCAACCAACTGCAGATGCGAGGGACATATGCAAGAAATGATGGGGCCCAAATGCACTTTTTCAGGATAGTGTGTCGTGTGGTTTCACTAAGGTCTTTTACGTGCCCTCCACAGTCGTATTACGCATACCGTTGGTTGTGGCAGTCAGTGCTGCCATCTACAAAGATTCGTCAGCCGCCTGCTCGTCACTTTTTACCGCTAGGTGAGAGGACCTGTGGAATACGATGTAACGCTTGTCGACAGAACACAGTGTAGCACGCGACCTCCTGGCATTTTTGCCATCCTTGCTCCTGATCCTTCCGGCCAGGGGGCATTGGACGCGTTCACCAAGAGATGAAGGACGGCGACCTGGTGCCCTGCAGCACCTGTGGCAAGCGGCTGACAAAGCATAACCTGCCAAGGCACGCCAGATCCCAGCACCAGGTCGGCCCGAAAAAGCTTCGAGGTTTTTTGAGAAAATGTGTAAAAGCGGAGGCGAAGTCAGTCCGTCAGAAGAGGTCAGAGGAGCGTGCGTTTAAGGACTTGTTTTTGTCACAGTCTGATAGCGAAGGACCC